GATAGCCTGGGGCGTTCGGGCTACCAAGCTGTCTCGAATCTGTGAAATCATAACTGGGACTTATATTGACGTCCTATCTGTCTCTTTTCTCTGTTATCACCAGGCTATGAGTCACATAATTGTAAAATTGGAAATCTATGACAGAAAAGCGACGAATTGAAAGTATCATGAGTGCATATTATGATGTATGCATAGGCATATGTGGACTAGAGCGATAAAGAGAAAGGGAAGAGCAAAGACGAGTGCTTAAAAAGAAGGATAGACAGGGTCAGACCCTCAGATGTGCGATGATTCTTGAACGAATAGGTGTGTACATGTGCTGATCTTTGTAATTATAAATTGTGAATACATGTGACTAATATTGTTTTCTTTTTTATTTTGTGCATGTTATAAGTTATAAATAAATATAAACAAACAACACTAACCCGATAGCATTTAAATCTAAATACCAAAATGATTAATTTACTGTGTTTTTGTTATTTCTTACTCCTGTTTTTAGGTATGCAGTATTCGGCCGAATAGTAACTGAATATTCATTACATCACTAGTTATAATGCATCATAAAAATATATAACTGATAATGTTAATTAAAGAAATAATTCTTATAAAAAATATCATTCTTTCAATTATAGTTATACAAATGAAAATTGGAATTGATATATTCAATCTTTTAGGGATCAAAACAAATCAATTTCTAATAAAACATACAGTGTGCCCGGAAAGCTCTGAGAATAATTCAATAAGAAAATGAATTTTTTGTGCTGCAATTTTCAAACTACAGATCTATACACATTCCCAATGTTGTCCATCTATGTCTGTCTTTCTGTCCTTCATTAGAAAGAAGTTGGATAGATGAAAATTAAGACCGAATCGGATTAAGCTTAGGGGTCTGTGGTCCCAATTAACTATACACAAACTTCTGGTCTGGAGCAGAAGTCATGTAAATTTTTTAAAATTAAAAGATGATTAAAAATTGCAGCATGGAAGTGTGATGACATCCCAATAAATAATTGATTGTTTTATATAGAAAAGTGTTATTGATTTAATTTTTAATATCTTCCTTCCCCTTTCCTTTTAATTCCAGAAGTCCTTGGAATGCTCTGATGAAGTCTTTTTTGCTGTGATTCTCAAGTAGTTGAATACTGCCTTTTAAATTTCAAGAATAGACCTATAGCATATCCCTTCAGAGAAGTCATGAGTTTAATTAACTTTCACATTAAAGTAACATATTAAAACAATTAAAAATATGAAATTTGAAGATATTTTTATTATAATTACTATTATTATTAATTAATAATAATTCATTCAGTGTTGCCTGACTGCTGGATTTTGCAGTACTATCTTTAACAACAGTTAACATGTAATTGAAGTACAAAATTCCAGAAATTTGCTTAGTGTGACTTCATTTAGTATGAAAATTTACACTGCTAGGCCATTGTATATAAGAAAATTTATAACTAAAGTTTTAAAAAATAAATTTTAACAAAAACAAGTAAAATGGCAAAGCCATTTTTGGGACAAGACAATGTCTCAAAGAACATGAGCAACACATGTGCAAATCTCACACTCGCACCTGTTTGTAAAAATAGTCTCAGTATTTTGTATTTTCTTTTGACCTAGTTTTCGGTCCTCTGACTACCTACAAGTCTGGTTTATTTTGTGTGTACATGTACATATTTGGGCATCAAATACTCTGTGCCAAATTGCAACTCCTGACATGTACTCTTTCATACCTCCAAGGTATGCAGCCGTGACAGCAGCATGATTTTAGAGACAAGATAAAGTCTTGTTAAAAATGGCATAAATAGGCGATAAAAACATTAAAGAAAAGAAATATTATATTACACAATTCTAGAGGTAATACTGCCAATTTAAATAAGAAGAATTGGCAAAATGGCTAACAGAATTCAATCTAGCTGCTCATCCCTCATTATCTACCTGATACCTTTTGGTGCTGCACAATTTAGACATTTTTCATGCTACTTTAGAAGATCCTGCTTTCTGGCATAATTTGGAAAAAATACAATAATTTCAATAATTTCCTAAGCCAAAGAGTTAAAATTAAATTATGTGAATGTTCCTATTGTACAAGATGAATACAGGAAATGTCTGCAATCATTTTCAAGCATTTAATGCATTGTAAATTGATGTAGTGCATAAATAATTATATATAAACAAAAAAAAATCTAAAAAAGTTTTGATTTGTAATTTGAAATGATATTTAATGCAATATATTTAATATCAAGTGCAACACATTTATAGTGTTGCTATAGTGTATAACCAGTATGAGAAGGATGGATGGGAAGCCAAGGCTTGTAGTCCTGGGCTTGGACCAGTATAAGGGACTTAGGTCAGAATCTGTATAATAAAATTTTAATATAAAGTCTAGAAAATCAATTTATGCAATTTCAGTGCATAAAAGGGGAGGGGAAATGTAATAAACTGAGAGGTTTACATCAGAAGAACAGATACAGAGATCCTGAAAGCATTAATCTCAAAGTCCATCATCACTCTCCATGACTCTATATACAACATTGTAACATGAACAGAGATTAGAGATATCAAATACAAGTCAACCCCCCTATAACACTGTTGATAATTCCGTTTTATATTAATACCATGTTGTACGAGTCACTTAGTTTTTACAAATACGTGAGCCGTTCACAGCCCGGCACACGTATTTGTAAAAACTAAGTGACTCGTACAACATGGAATTCATATAAAACGGAATTATCAACAGTGTTATAGGGGGGTCGACTAATGGTTGACCGCTTGACTTGGATTGTTGAACATAATTCTTTCCTTAGTAACTTACAATTTGGTTTTCGACAACAAAGATCCACCAATGATGCAATCAATCAAGTCGTTGCTAACATCAAAAACCTTCGCGAACAAAATAAATACATCTTGGGCATTAGTTTAGATATATCTAAAGCGTTCGACACTGCTTGGTGGCCTTTTACATTATATCAAATCAGACAAACTGGCTGTCCTGCTAATCTATATAGACTCTTTGTTAATTATTTAGCAAACCGCAAAGCAATCTTAATGCAAGGCTCTTACTCCATTGAACGTGTAATCACTCGAGGATGTCCACAGGGTTCAGTCTGTGGACCGCTTTTATGGAATCTTACATTCGATGCCTTCTTGCAGGAATCTTTCGGCCAAGATAAAACTACTGCATATGTTGATGATGTATTAATATTGATTGGTGGACGATCTCGAGCTATGCTTGAAAATCGGGGCAATGAGATCCTAAGTAAAATCCACAAATGGGGACTAGATCATAAATTACAATTTAATCCGAATAAAACTATGGGAATTGTTTTTAACAAACCTTACAGTCCTAATCTCTATCGATGTGTACCACTAATAAAAATGAATGGGCAAACAATTGCAATTAAAGAAAGTATTAAATATCTTGGCATATGGTTAGATTTCAGACTTGGATGGGATGCTCATGTTAAATACATAGCCAGAAGAACGAGTCTAATTTTTCAAGCCTTTTCTTCTGTTGCACGGAAATCTTGGGGACTAAGCTCTGCAGCCATCAGTGTCATCTATAATCAGATCTACGTGCCAATTATAACTTATGGCTGCTGCTCTTGGGGAAACGCAGTGTCAAAAGGTCATCTGCAAAGAAAGCTTCTATCGTCACAACGAAAAGCCCTTCTTCTAATCACCAAGGCATATAGGACTGCCCCTCACAATGGCTTACAAATACTTGCTGGGAAACCTCCAATTACTGAAGTCATTAAACTGGAATACCAACTTCACCAACTTAGAACAGGGACTGACATTAATACTCCAACCTGTCAACTCTCTGCAAGTAACTATGAACAAACTAGTCCCATAACATTAAGTCTACCACCCTATATTGATAATTT